ATATTATATGAGCAGTTCAGTTCAGAGCAGCAAAGCAGTTCAGTTCAGAGCAGTCTAGTAAAAGTTCTGCCAGGACTCAAAGAAGTTCGCAAATCGGTTCGCTGATTTTTCCAGATTGAAAATTTCACAACATTGTAAAAATGAATAACTTAAGTTAGTTTATAGATAAAACTCATGTTTTAACTCCCTCAAAGCGTTGAAAATTAATTTAGCTACATTTGCTAAAGCTATACCCAACGTAAGCATTGCGGATAACTTGTTTTGATAGCGGATAACAGTTAAGTAATACTTAAAGCAAATGTTATCAAATCGGTTAATATTTGTTAATAGCGGATAATGGTTAAACAATATTGAAAATCAGGAAATAAATTTGATTAAAGATTCACTTTTAATGTTAACTGACTACACTGAATGAACAACAGATATCATATTATAAGACAATGATTGGATATAAAATCTCGTAGCACATACAATATACGGGAAGGTACAGGAACAGACCAACATCTACTCAACTAGTGTGACTTATCAAGAGTATATTCATATACTTCTTGGGGTTTACATACACCTCATCCAAATTCCCATCCAATAAAATTTTTCAGGGTGTACGAAATAGAGTTGAGAAAATATTTCCAATCTGAAAATTTGTCATAGAATCTGGCAGTTGAGAGAGCCATTCATGTTCACCTGTTCAAGGCACTCACACACAGGCACACACACATATCACATATATACTATGTGTATATATTGTACACCATATACTAGATACAATTTGTTGGTTCTCTGCTGTGCTTCTGCTACATCTTTGTCATTTGCATAGTCCGCCCGCATCGGCTAGAGACCGGAATGGCCTAGGTTGCTCTGGGTTGGGTAAGGTTAGATTGGATTGGTAGTGGGGCAGGCGCGGGTACGCGCGGCAGCAGGAGAGCTGTCATACGACTATCAACCACAATGTCGTGGGGGGGTAGGTGTAGGGGGTCGGGGGATGTCATGTCCGAAATTGCGGCAGCTGCCTTGGCTGTCTGTGTCGCCTGGCTGTCAGTTGTGGGTCTGGGTCTCGGTCTGGTCATGTTGCACTAATGAGCCTCACGCTCATGTTCCCGCAATAGTAGATGGAGCACTACCTAGGCATATACATACATACATACATATATATATACGACATCTATATCTATATCTCTATATATATATATATGTTGGTCTGTCGGTTCTGCACCATCAGCGCAAGTTCATGCAAAAATCATACAACTAATCTAATTAAGCGCATTTTTGTCATCTCGCTGCCAAATGCCATTATTCAACTAATCCAACTGAGTTGTGTACATAAAGGTATAAGAGAATGCTAGCCATATAATTCTTATAAGCATAATACATATATATACAGATACATACATATATATATACACATACAATATATAAATCTGCTTTGGCTATATGGCAGACGCTCACACGCAGCTGCAGACTCTTTCGGTTCTATTCAAAGATATTTCTTGCAGAGACACAAACATTTCACATTTCAGAAATTCCAATAATTGTTTTATGTCTGGCTAGAGATGACCCATTCCCATTACCATTCCCATACCAATTCCCATCCCCAATTGGTCAAGGCTGTTTTATTTACCTATTTCCTGAGCAACTCAGTGGGGCCACTTATGAAACGATTATCCAGCTTTGAGATTTTGATATTTAAGTTTAAGCAGCAAACGCAAAGTGATCCATGAGCTTAAGATTTACATTTCTTAGCAACAAAACATTTATCCAGCTACAAGAAACATGCAATTTGTAATTATGAAGAGTTGAAACGATAATGTCTTCGTTTTGGATAAACATTTGGGGTGCCGGATAATAGTAAACTAATATTCAAATTGAAAGACAGAAAGTATTTTAGGAAAAATTATGAAATTTACACAATAAATCAGCTTTAGATTTACTTTGATATCTCTTGCATAACAGTTAATGAGTAACAGGTATCGAATGATAGCAAAATGAGTGGATTACAAATCCATAATCAGCTTGTAGTAAATACAACTGTTTCGGATAATTAATTATGACAGCGGATAATGAATATAATATTAAAGCAAACTCAAAAGTGTCAAGTCTGAAGGATATGAAGCTTTTCCAATTTTAAATGAACGATTAAGAGTGAGAGCGATTGGTAAAATAGGCTCGGATAACAGATATCGCCCAATAAAATAAAAAAATAAAAAAATTACTTAATTGGTCATATAATAGATAGCAATAAAGGATGATGAATATCAAATAAATAAGTGGAAATGCTGAGCCATATTTTGTTGTAGGACTGACTCAATAGCTATAATGCTCATGTGGATAATATTTAACGGCAAACACAGAGGGAAATTAACGAATAACAACTATCGAATGATGAGACGGATAAAATATATCAAAAATGCAAAAATGTAAAAGGTCCTTCGGATAACGATCGATGGAAATCGAATATCGGATATTGGATATTGGATATCCGGTGATGGAACGCATGAGAGCGAAGAGTCTACTCACAGAATTGTCGTTGCACCTGTCGCAGTTGCACACAAAGTACTTGGTCATCTTGAGGAAAATGCCGCGCGTGAGGTTGCTCCAGAGGATCTTGGTGTAGGTGGTGGTTATCTCGCCGCCCTTGGGTATGTCGCGCGCCGCACGCACCACGGCCAGCCGCCCGTTCTCGAAGTAGTGGCTGGCATTGGGCGTGCACTCGTGGTTCATGATGGCCGTCAGCGGGAAGAGGCCACGGAGCAGCGACTCATGGCCGTCGACCCGGCAGGGCGCCTCGAAGGCGTTCGTGTTGAGGACGCCCACGACGCGGAAGAGCTGATCCATGAAGGGCTTGTCTGTGGTGGGGAACTTGCGGAAGCACTGCGCCGCCTTGATGATCTCCTGGCGATAGCCACGCTCCGCATTCGCCTGCATCGCGTCCACCAGGGCGCGCTGCTCCTTGCTGAGGTAGAAGACGCGCACGGCGGTCAGGATGCGCAGCGAGAGCGGATTCACCACGTCGACTGGCTCGCCCGTCGGCAACAGCTCCTTGCACTCCTCGCTCAGATCCTTCGGCTGCCAGCGCTGAAAGTGCGCGCACTCATTGTGGTGCGCCTCCGAATCGGCGCACTCGCCGCACACGGGCAGCGTGCAGCGATGCGGGCAGAGGAACTGCTTGGCACCCAGCAGCCGATGGCAGCAGACGCATGTGTTCAGCTGGGAGCCCTTGCGCGCAGTTGGCCCCACGACCAGGGCGCGCTCCCTGAAGATTAGCTCGCCGGCGGCAATATCCCGGGTGGCGAACACTCCACGGCCGGCGACGGGCGATGGCGCCAGCGTCCAGTTGGGCAGCACCTCGCGCAGCTCGCCCAGGTGCACGTCGATGAGGCGGGCCAGCTGGTCCGGCGTGGTGCTGCGACTGGGCGCCATGTGGGCGACCATGGCGGCCGTTGTATTAATGCGCTCCACCATGCTCTCTCTCGCTCCCCCTGTCTCCCTCTCACACTCTCGCACTATCTGTCGCTCTCACTCTCTCTATCACACACACACACACTATCCCTGTGTCTCACTCTGGCTCTGTGAGTGCGCCTGGCCAGGATCGGCAGAACGTTGCAGCGCAAGGCAGGCAAAGCACAGAGATGACAACGCGTCGTGGCAACGCGACGCGACGTTTGGTTGCGAGTGTTGGCGATTGGCGACTGGCGACAAGACCAGGCGAGCAGCTGGGCAGCAACAGCAGCAGCAGCAGCAACAGCAACAGCAACAGCGACGCCCGACGCCCAACGCCAGCGCCAGCCGAGGCAGCGACTGCGACAGCGACGCCCTCAGAGAGTATTAAACGCAAAAACTAAAAAAAAAGTAAATAAAAAAAAAGTAAAAGAAACAGAAACACACACACACACACACACACACAAATTAGAGGCAGCAAACAGCAACAACTAGAAAAATATGATTTATCCAAGGCGCGACACACACACACACTCATGCACGCACACCCGCACTCACACACACACACACTGAGAGTGAGTGAGAGGGAGAGAGAGGGGCAAAGCCGCTTACGCTTTTGCTTTTGACTCTTATTCAATTTTGTGTTGCATTCAATTGGATTCGATACAGCAACAACAACAACTGCTACAACAACCACGCATGACTAGCGACATGGCGTGTTGACGTCCATGACACACACACACACGCACACACATGCACAGTCCTCCTCCCCCTCCCCCCTCCCTCCGTCCTTGCCCTTGCAGCAGTCGCTTTGCTTTGCCTGTCACTTCGATTTGTCATTTCAATTTGTATGACACGCCCCCACCGGCAGACGCCTACTGCGACGCTGCGGTTATGAGCCGCCGCTATAAATACGTAACACTAGCAACAACATAGCCAAAGTGGAAGAAGMAGCAGCAGCAACAGCATCAGGCGCTGCGCCCACGTGGTGCGACTTTCACATTTTTGCGGCTTCCGGCTGGAACCGCAGCGCAGATTTCAGTCTTGCCCCATTTTTATTTTGTGCTGCACTTGGTCACTGAGCGTGGGGGCGTGCCACAGCGTTGAGGGACTTCGTGTGCGTGTGTGTGTGTGTGTGTGTGTGTGGGTGCGGGTGTGTGGCGCGTGTTGATGCCACATAAATTAAGACATTGCCAAAGCGGATTGCGTGCCGCGTCCATATGACAATGGGCCCGGCCAATGGGCCAAATGGCATCATCATCAGGCACAACGGTGCCGCGACACGTGACCAGGTGAAACACACGCAGGCGACTGCCGCACGTTGTCACCGACCAAAGAGCACGGCAACAAAAACAGCAAAGAGAAAACAGAAACAGAAACAGCAACAAAAACAAGAAGACAACAAGAAACCAAAAATGGGCCAAGCACACACGCACRTTGCGTATACGCCGCATGGGCCACACAAAGAGACAAAGTGCCCCAAACGGTTGGCCCCAAATCTGTTCTAGACACACACACACACACACGCACGCAGCTATCCCTTTTCTTGATGAGCCCACATACAGGCACAGGCACAGCCACACCCCCAAAACGCCTCCACTGGAAAACACTTTGAATACTTCTCCACACAAATTAAAAACAAATGCACGAAAAAATAAACTGAAGCCAAATATAACAGAAAAAAAAATATTTCAAACAAAAACTTGAAAGAAAAAAAGAAACCAGTTTTCTATTTTTCATTCAGTACAAATTTTTGCACAAAATTTATATTTAAAGCACACAAAAAAAAAACATGCATAAAATAAGAGCAAAATAGTTGGCAGCAATCAAGAGTGCGCGACTAGGACGATACCCTAGGTATGTGTGTGCATATATAATTGATCAAATAATCTTTAAGAAGTATCTAAATATATTAAATATGAA